GCCATGGATATGCTTGATCTACCCAATCAGGATATGGCTTCGTGTAAGTAGGCCTGATGACAGGACGTACCCCAAGAGCCATTTGATCCTGTACTATCTCCATGATTTGATTCCTCAACATGACATTGGGATCATATGGAATTCATATAAGTTGGTTTACTGGTTGATTTGTTTGAGGCCTAACATTTGGTCCTTGATTGGCAACAAAAGTGCTATTGTTTAGGCCATTATTACCATTAACCTGAGTATTTAACCCATCATTAACGCGCGGGACGTTCTATCCATTATTCAGGACATTGCCTCTTATATTTGGATTACCCCCTAGGTTTGTAATCCCATTACCACCATTCAAGTTTGATGTTCCATTAACCCCTGATTTGAAGTAGACGGACTGAATGGTGGTTCTAATCTTTGATTTGGGTTCAAATTAGGAGAATTATGTGGTGAATTATAACCCACAATCGTCCTGGTTTGAAAGTGGTTTGTAATAAGCACAACTGGCTGACACATTTGGCCTACTAATTTATTCATTATTTCGTTCAATGTATTCAGTTGTTTGGCCATGTTGTCATAATTTGCATTCCCATTTTGGGTAAATCTTTCCATATTATGAACATTTTGTAGATTTACCCGTTCAACGACATCATGTGTGAGTTTCCCAAGCAAGGCACGCATGGTTCGAAGACTCAACTCCGTCATGGCTCGTAGCGATTTTGACTACTTTGACTCTGTCCCTCTGTTTGTGGAGAGCTTTGCTACTATTCATATCGCTCGATCATAGATTGGACTATTTTATAACTTGTTGGTTCCTTTTCAGAATTCTTATGAGGTATAATGTTTCACTTTTTTGTATCCTCAAACACCAAACACCCTTCGGTCCGACTATGCGTGCCAAATTGTTTCGCGCGAGTTATCGCTAACAATTAGAAAATGGATCAGATGATTGTCTAAAGAACAAACCTCTCGAGATAAAGTCCCAAAAATTGGTGCTTTATTGATGAAGAGTACAATGGGAAATAAATAGAATGCCTCCAAGGGGCGCAAGCACACGAATACTAAAAGAAGTGTTTTAAAGTTAAACTAAAAAATTGAAATTACATATTCTATGTTGAGAGTGTTTGATTCGGGGTCCTTTCTTCTATGTCTTCATTTCCTTTTTATACTCCCTTGATAGTTTCTTTGTGAAAACTGCTTGGAAACTGCTTGATGCTCTATAACTACCAACTTTCTTCATGATGGCTGACTTGTTATGCAACTGCCGTCTCTAACTGTTGCCATTACTCTTGTTGTTTAACTGCCTACAACCGGGATTCTTGGATATAGTGGGGTGTGATAAGGTTGCTCAATAATTGCTTCAATAACTGCTGTATTGGATAATCATAACATCTTAGATTTGTTCAGTTCCTGGGCGACTCGAGGGTTTGGCCGAGAACGAGATCATCCCTCTGGGTGACCGTAAGACACTCCATTCGCTCAGTTTCTGAGCGTCTTGCAAGCTTGGGCGATGATGTTATTTTGTTCGTGGGCCTCCACTGTATTCACTAATGGTCTTATTTGGGCATTCGTCCTGGATTTCTCAATTGGGTTTCATTC